AGGCACTTGTCACCTGACCGGCTGAGGAATCTCCCCAATGCAGCAAGACAACTGGTTAATTTTCTTAACTTCCTTGACAGTGCAGGGTGACTTAATGTCAATCACCACCTATATCTTCTCTAGGTTGGCCTCTATCTCCCTTTGATCGATCAGAAATCCGAGAAACTTCCCAAACTCAACACCAAAGATACACTTCTTGGGATTAAGCATGACCTTGTGCCGCCTGAGGGTGGTGAAGGTTTCTTGGAGGTCAGCAAGATGATCCGTTTGTAGCTTAGATTTGACTATCATGTCATCAATGTACGCCTCTAAGTTCCTCCTAATTTGATTAATGAAGACTGTATTAATCATTCGTTGGAAGGTAGCAGGCACATTTTTCAACCCAAACGGCATCACAATATAGCAGAATAACCCTTGATTAGTGACGAATGTCGTCTTCTCTTGATCTTTCTTCCACAAGGGTATCTGATGAAAACCTGAGTAGGTGTCCATAAAGCTCATCAAGGCATGACCGGCTGTGGAGTCGACCAGACTGTCAATCTTTGGAAGTGGGTAACTATCCTTCGGACATGCCTTGTTCAGATCTGTGTAGTCAACACACATGCGCCAGGTACCATTCGGCTTTTTCACAGGAATAACATTTGCAACCCAATCCGGGAAGTAACATTGCCGAATGAACCTAGCATCCAACAACTTCTTTACTTCGGCAACTGCCGCCTAACTTCTTTCCTCACCGTGGCTCCTTTTCTTTTGTCTAACCGGCTTCTTTTTGGGACCCACCGCAAGCTTATGAACAGCTAAATCCAGGCTGACGCCTGGCATCTCTTCTACTTCTAAGGCAAAGATGTCTTTGAATTCTTTTAGTAGGTTGTGCAAGTCTGCACCCAACCTTGCAAATGCAACTGTCCCAACCTTAACAGTTCGCTCTGGACGTGTGTCGTCCAAAACGATGTCAATGTGTTCACCAGCCGGCTGGGGAAGGAGTTCATCTGACCGTTCCCCGGTCAGTGATAGCTATTGCTTCTCTTTTTTTACGGCCAACAACTGATCGGCCTTTCTTTTTTTTCCGACTGCTATTGGAGCAGGCGCGGCTTCCTTGAGTTCATCAAGGTCTATAGGCTCTTCACCATGGCCGGATGCGGCCGCAATAGGCTTGACGTCTGAGAGATAGCACTCTCTTGTCGTCTTTTGATCCCCATTCAGGGAGCCTACAGACCCGTCATCCTTCTCAAATTTTAAGAGCATGAGGGGTGGAATAACAACAGCCTTGGATTCGTTCAGTGTTAGATGGCCCAATATTAGATTATAGGCGGTCAACTCTTCTACAACCAAGAATCGAACTACCATGGGGCGCCCTTCCCCCTTCTCCCCTAGCCGGGGATGGGTAAGTCGATCCTCCCTACCAAATGCACTACTCCACCCCCAAAACCAACCAAGGGGTGAGATACTTTGTGCATACTGCTGGGCTTGTACTTGAGCTTTGCCAAACACTTGTGGCTGATAAGGTCAGACGAGCTGCCAGTGTCAATAAGGATTCGGCCTACCTTTTTGTTGGACACTTTGCATTCAATGAATATGGGGTCATCATGTGGTCGCCTAACCTTGCCCCTGTCTTTCTTAGTGATAATGACCTCAGGAAAGGTGTCTTTAGATGCCTGGCCCTCATCAACTTAGCTGACATCCAGCCGCCTGATATAGTCTTTGGTGCCCCGGATAATTTGACCCCCTCCAGCAAAGTCGCCTGCTATCGTATAGATAGGCTCTCCATCAGTGTCCGAACTATGAGCAGGTTGGGTTGCCTTTTTGGACGATTATCCTTGGTTCGTCCTCAAGGTTACCTTAGACTTCAGAATGTAGGACTTCAACACCCCTTTATCAGTTAGTCGGTCCAATAGGCGCTTGAGGCTATAACAGTCGTTGGTGTCATGACCAATATCCTCATGGAAATGACAGTACTTATTTTTGTTCCGGTTTCTTACGGAACCTTTCAATGCAGTCGGTTTTTCAATTGTTACCCGGTCTTTAATCTTCTTTTTTAGCCGGCTGAGCAGGACGATTCTCTTTTTTGTCAGACTTCTTAGGGTTCGACTGCTTACTGATGGCGCAAAGTTCAGTTGCCTGTATATAGGCTTCCGCCTCCATCAAAGCTTCTTGGAGAGTAGCAACCCTCTTTTTGACGAGGTCGAACTTAAAGGTCAACCCGTCCTTCAGACCTTTAAAGAAGTCTACATACGCCACTTCGTCAGACAGCCCTTGAATCTGAATTCTCATCAGATTGAACCGCCTGACATAGGACCTTAGCCCTTCTTTATCCCCCTATTGTGTTGCACCCAAGTCAAGACTTGTCTTCTTAGTAGGGATGTTCATAGAAAAGTTAGAAGCAAACAAGTACGCAAGCGTCTTGAAGCTATTTATGCAGCCGGCTGGCAGGTTGCCAAACCATAGTTGGGCGATGCCCTTCAATGTAGTTGGGAAGCCTCGGCACCAGGGGGCATCATCCATACCCTATAAGTACATGAGGTTGGTGTAGGCCATCAGGTGATATTCAAGGTTAGTGGTACCATCATAAGTACCCACCATGACATTCTTAACCTTAGCCGGCTGTGCCACCTCGGTTATTTCCTTGGAGAACGCAAAAGGTTGTTCCCCAAGTTTGAGCAGATGGAGCTGCCAGTCCAAAGGTTGGATATGATGTGTCGCTTGACCCTTAGAGAGGGTCGGCTGCATGTATGGTTGTCCATACGGCATGTATGGCTGATGAGGCACATACGGAGCCGAATGGATTATCAGAGGGAACGTGTGGGCGGACAAGCCGCCTGAGTGACTCTCTCGGTTTGATTGCGAATACCTCATTGAGGTATTCTGGAAGCTGTATGGGTAAGTCGACGTTGAAGCCGACTTAGACAGTTGTTGACTTTTCTTCTGCTGGATTAACATCCGGGCATCCGAATAAGTCTTCTTTGATCCATCCGGCTGAACATGCCGGATGACCTTCCTCTTCCCTGTTTCAGGGAATCAAATCTTGGACAGCTCAATCAAGGGTCGGTTCCCCTCCTTTGGTTTAGGATGCAGAGTAGGCACACGGTCCTTGATAGGCTTTTTCTTCTTTGAGGGAGAAGGTTTCTTAGCCGACTGACCCCTGTTGGAGCCAGCCTTCTTATTATTGATCAAGTCCTTGATTTCCCTTTTGAAACTTGTCATGAATTCCATGAGTTCGTCTCTAGTGACCGGGGCTACGCTTTCTGTCGCCTGGGGTTGTCCAGACGACTGTTCGGTTGGCTCACTTGGACCAACTTGCTCTTTGCCCCGTTCCCTTATTTCCATGGGACGGGGGCGCTTGGTTCTGAGTGAACTGTTAGCAGCTACGTAGGTGTCGACATCAAAGTCTTCATCACTATCTTTGTCTCAATAAACTTGAACTTCGACCGTAGGTCGTTTCTCATTAGCAGGCGGTGCAGACTCATGTGAAGCCATCTCAGAAAGTACTCTCCCCACAGATGGCGCAAAAAAATTTCAAGGTTTTATGTGTCCCTCGGGAGAGTTACTACACCAAGACAAGTTTCCAGGCGCCTGTATCTGCAAAACAACGGAGACTCCGGTTGGGTGGAGTTCTGCCTCCGACGATCAAGTTAGAACATGTTCGGAACATGTAAAAAGTGCGGAAAGAAAGGTGGGATCCTCTCGGATTTCGAGATCAGGTATATTCTCGGTGGCGAGAATTAATTATATGCAATCCTTCACTGCTCTGGTTTTTAGTGAATAATAAATGTATGTGTGTACGTGTATCTCTGTGTTCCCTAGGGGGGGAACTTCTCTTTATTTATAGAGTCTTGGGATTCGTGCCACCATCCTAGGTTATGGAAACCTAGGAATGTCGGGTTGCGCCGTTGTACGGCCTTTTCTAGGGAATTGGGCCTTGGGGACGTCTTTTTCTCAATGATTGGAGATGTCACGTGTCAGCTGAGGGTTGGTTCATTTTGAACCTCTCATAGGGTGACACGTGTCACCATTTAATTGGCCACGTGGCCTTGGGTATTTTACCCAAAACAAGAACCTCAAGAACTCTTGTCAAAAACACCTTATAATTAAATATAACCTTAATCAATATAAGGTCATTAAATAATCACAATAATTAAAATAAAACCCCCAACTATATATACATGAACTTTATAAAAATCTTTTTTATAAATTTGAAAAATAAACTGATTTTATTTAATTAAAACACTTATAATAATTTTTAAATAAAATCCCTATAATAATAATAATAATAATAATAAAATTTATTAGGAGAAGAGAAGAAGAAGTAGAAAACCAAAGAAGAAGGAAGAAGAAGGGGTCGCCAAAAGGCAACAGCACCCCGGCAGGTGGCTGCTGCTGGTGGTCAGCGTCGGTGGTCGGTCGGAGGTGTTGGCTAACGGCGGCAGTGGTGGTTGGCGCAAGGAAGTGAGAAAAAGAGAGGAGAGAATTAGAGAGAAATTAGAGAGAAAGAAGAGAGTTTTGGTGTGAGTTTTTAGCTATGATTCAAGGGGTATTTATAGGCTAGATCATACAAGAATTATGGTAGGAATATGTATGAAGAATTATGGTAATTTTGGTTTAAGGAATTACTTGGAGAAAGAGAGCTAAATAATTAAGGAAAGTTTATTTTTATGGTGATTAAGGAATAATTAATTATGGAAAGTATGTTGTCATGAAAAATAATATGGCAAATGGCTTTGTCTCGGGAATAATCAAGAATGGTTTAAGGTAAATAAATAAGATGGCTAAATCTTTATGAGATGGGAAATAAGAATTAAGGGAGATAATTAAAATACAAAACCACCAAAACAAATTGCTCAAAATCACCCCAAGGTGGCTGGAATTTTTTAGCTTTCCTAAGTTCAAATTTTCGACCCTCTTGATTAGATTTTAGGAAGTTATTTTGCTAGATTTTAAAGATTAAAAGTGGTTGTGTAAATAATATATATTGTATAAAATAATTAATTAGAAAAATACCAATTGTTCACTAAATAATTTAACTAAGAAAATCAGATTTTCTACACTTAGAAAATCATATTTTCTACACTTAGAAAATTAGATTAATTTTGACTACATTTTATGAATATTACTACATGTAAACGTAGGATTCGAACACACGTCATGTGTGTAATACAAGTACACATTGCTCAACCAATTGAGCTAATAGGTTTCTAACACGCAAACAATAAAGCTTATAACCAATCAAGTTCAGAGTTTTGATTTTTTGTCGAATGTTCTTTTGCATCATAAGGCTGCTCCCCCCCCCCCCCCCCCCCTCTTGCTCCAGCCCTTAAGCAGCCTAAACCTTCACCCCACCATCAGCTAACCTACACAAACTCAACAAGCTGCAATAACAACCTTGTAACTCCCCTGCTGCAACCTGCAAGTATCCATGCCACTCTCCTACTTCAGCACAACCCATGCAACCCAACAACAACACATAGTAGCTACGCATTCCCACAATAACCACCAGCTACCTTAATTTGCCTAGCCAGCCATGTAGTTCATCCACCTCGCACCCTCCAAATCCACAACCAACCTCCGCCAATTCACATGATCAGCTATCGCAATAACCACCACAGCAGTTCAGCTGCAACATCAGCAACTGCATCTCTATCGGACGCCCACACAACAGCCACCAACTGCTCCACCAATTCGCCACCAAAGCCCGACTCCAACATCATCAATCCAACCTCCAACAATCAATAAATCAGCCAATTAGAAAATACAAAATTAAACAAAAATACAATTGCATTCAGAACCAGAAGTAAGTCGAGTAAAAATTACACATAAAATACAATTGAAGCTCAAGAATGCCAAACTAAGAAATTAAGTTGAATTATAACATAATTATACTCATTTACTGGTACTAGACAGTAGATACTAGACAAATACTGATTTAGAAAATAAATACAAGCAGACCTTGCTTTTCTAATTTACTCCAACATAATTTACTAGGATCACAAACACAAAAATTTGTGTTACAAATAGGTGATGAACAACAACAAGAATAGAGTTTCGAGCAAAAATACACATAAAAACCTGATTTACTAAAACCAAGCAAAATTGAAAAAAATACAGTTCAAAACAAAAATTCATCTTTGGCCTCCCTACCAAGTAAATACAGAAAAGATTATTAACATTCACCATGAAAAAGCTATAATAATAATAATAATTGATGATTAAAATTAGTAAATTCTACCACTCAAAGCATACTGACAGTAGCTTTCCACACACTAGTTCAAACACTAGGCTCTACCTAAGAACTCCACCAAACACAAAAATCTAGAAGTAAATTAGTGGCTAAAAGATAGAAATTGAAAAGCAGTGGCTCTATCTTGATATATTTTGAAATTGTAAGACCATATCATTTGATTTAGCTTTAGCTGCAGAAATAATTGTAGATTCAGAAACATTAACAACCAGCTATTATTGACTAATTATATGCAGATCATAACATACTACTATTATTTAATACATACAGCTAGAAATCGCACTGAAATCACATTTATAGAAAGCTCGAAAAAATATAATCTGATTGATATTATAATCAAACACAATAATCATTGAAATCGCATCAGATTCGCAATTATATAAAATGCAATTATCTCACAATATCGAAAGCCTAACCACACAATTTCTCCATTTTGATTAAAAGTAAACAAATTATGGCAGAATCGATACCTTAAACCTGCAATTTCAAAGACTTTGAGCAATGTTTTGAAGATTGGCGTTGAACTCGAGTAGCAATTTGTGATATTCAGCGATGAAATTAAGGAGCGATTAAGTTAAAAAAAAATTAGGGTTCATTAGTTTATGCTAAAGAAAAATAGGAGAAATCTCTTTGATATGGAGAAAAATAGAGAGAAAAATAGAGAGAAAAGAGAAGAGAGAGAAAGTTATGCGTGCAAATGAAGGAGGAGAGAGAAACTAAAAGCTTTAGTCTGAAATTGTGGGAAAAAAAAATCCCACCGTTAGATTTAATGAGTCAGTGGTTGATTATAATCTACGGTCAAGATTTGATGTTTTCAGTTTTTAGCTTAAGCCTTGTTTTCAAATGCGCTAAAAACAGAGCTTATGGTGAAAACTAAAAACAAGCAATCTTAGTCATTCATTACTAGCACAAAAGATCAGACGGTTCTAAAGCCCTAAGATCATTCCAACCTTACATATAATCAATTCAACCGTTTTAAAGGCTTTTTTTTTTTTTTTTTTTTTTTTTTTTTTTTTTTTTTTTTTTTTTTTTACAAACGCAACGTTTTAAAGGTCACTACATGCTAAAATAAGGTAACTTTATCTAAATTGACGATATTTACATAGAGTCACTATATATAAAAATAACGTAACTATATACAAAAATAGGGTAGCTATATCAATTTTTACAATATTTACATTAAGGTCACTATATACAAAAATAGGGTAACTATTTCAATATTGACCATATTTACATAGAGGTCACTATATACAAAAATAGGGTAACTATAACAATTTTTACGACATTTACATTAATGTCACTATATACAAAAATAAAGTAACTATATCGACTGAGTTTTTGACACCATTTACATAAAGGTCACTATATACAAAAATAAAGGTCACTATATATAAAAATAAGGTGACTGAAACAAAATTTACAACATTTCAATAATTCTAAGGTTATTATATCGAAAATAAGGTAACTATATATAAACTTCGGGTAATTATATCAATTTGACATCATTTACCCAGAGGTCAATAAATATAAAAATAAGTATTAAAAAAGTCTATGTAGGATTCGAACCTACATCCCGTGATTACACGGTGCTCGACCAATTGAGCTAATAGGCTTTCAACATGCCAAAACAGCCAATAAAAGCATACCAACATCACAGACCAACATCATACAGACTGAAGCAAAACAAGCTTGACAAGATCAACGTTTTAAGGACAGAAGCAGAGGCAAATAAAAGCATACCAGGATATCATGATACGAGCAAGCCACCTGTATATGAGGAATCCCAACAAAATGTAGATATTGAACAGGCAGGCACCAAAAATCATACAATCAGAGATAAATCTTCACAAAGGCTGAAGAAGGTTACTACACTAACTCCAGCTGACAAGGTAAGATCAGGCATGATAGAGCTCGCAATAACGCAAACTAGCATACTCGAATTCTAGAAATAAATTTCTAAAGACACGCTTCTACTATTTAACTAACATGTCCTTTACCCTGCATATTTCAAGATGAGAATAAAGTATCAACAGTTATTGGAGATCAAAGGGAAAAATTGATACAACCTATAAATGGTCTTGAAAGCATTGTACAATCTCAACAGCTCTAGTATATTAAAACCCCACATTAAAACCCCACAGAGGCCTACTCAATAACCTATAGATAGTATTACATGCCAGACCAAAAAGGAGCAAAAGGAATACATACATACAATCTCCCAAAGGACAAATAAAACAAATCAGATCAGTAATCAAATCATTACTCCCAGATCAGTAATCAGGATAAATGAGTTTTGCTAAAAATTTAGTCTTAAGCTCAATTAAACAAAGGAATTTCAGAAATCTGCAAGCTTCACCTGATCCTTCATCTGCATAAGAGCCAGGGGATACTTTGATGTCAACCTGTGTAAAAAAGACAATACTTGTATTATTCGTCTGAGAAAATCACGATGTCCCCATTACACAAGAGCCAGAATATCATGGTTCCCCTTACACAGCTCGAAATCACATTGAACGAAAAGTATGACTCAAAGGACAACCAAACGATCAGTTTTAGAAATAATTACTCCCAGATCACCAGCATGGTTTTATTTCAGATTACTCAAGGACTGAAGACGACTAGATGACAATGTAAGACATCATTCTTCTTGTTGGATATGTTAATGAGCTGTCGATTTCAATCTATGGCAGACTGGCACACTAGCTAGCAGATGTGATGCATACAAAAACATAAGACAAATGACAATTAGAGAGTGGAAGTATCTATATCTGAGCTACCAGTATCAACCCACCAGTTACTTAGGGTAGATTTTGTTCTTCACTCGAGTTGGTCTATACATTTTGTATTTATTGTATGGCATGACGAACAGAAATGGGCAGTCTCGAAAGGCTTCTCAGATTATATTTCAAGCATACCAAATAAATCAATCAGGTTTACAAGTTCATAAGGCAAAACAACTCACCTTATAATGAGGAGGAAAGTAATGCTTTAGCTTAACTCTTAGGCACAAGCCAATAACAATCGCCATACTGCAATGTTGGACGGTTGGGGTGAATGTTATCCTGTTGAACAAGACCACAATGCACAAGATCAAGGTTGAAATGTGATTAGGGGCGAGGCTAATGAGACCAAGAGCAAAAGAAATTAAACAGGTTAATTACTTTAGTACTAGTGCTAAAATAGTTACTTTAGAGTTTCTCCAACACAATCAATTATCTCATTTTGAAGTAGTGAAGTTGTGGCAACAAAGCCAGCTATAACGTGTTGAACTGAGGTCGACTATTCGACATTCACATTCTCATAACTTTAAAGAAGCTTAAAAGAGATTTCAACGTAACAACAGACAAATGTGACGCTTCAAAGCAAACATGCAACTGGATCGTTGTATGTAAAAAACAACACATGGAAAACATGTGGTGTTCTCAACTACTCATAGTACATAAGTTCAGCAACAAGCATGTAACATGACTAACATCAGTATATTGCTTACTTAATATTTTACCTTATACTCCTAAAACACCATATGAAGCAGTATATCGCTTTCTGCATAAAACTCCTTAAACCAATTTCATTTGTGAAGGCATCAGAATGCATCCCATGGTGAAGCTCCTTGTATCCTGCGACGTAGTCTTTATGCAGTTGTCTGCAATCATAAATGAAAACGGAAAAGGAATTGTTAGCAAAATCTTGATAAGGAATATTTAGAACAGGAAATTGAACAAAAATCACAAATGAAAACAAACAAAAACCAAGCAAAATCAAACAGGAAATCGAACAAAATTGAACAAAATCGAACAGGAATTCGCAAAATCTAACAAAATCGAACAAAATTGATAAAAAAAAAGTCGAAAAAATTGATGACCAAAGTCGCAAACTCGCAGTGGAAATCGAATAAAATTGATGAACAAAACACACAAAATCGCACAGAAATCGAACAAAATCGCAGAAATTTTTTTTGATAAAATTACCAAATGATATCGAAAATTAAAAATCTGAAATCTAATCAAATTATGGAAAAAAGAAAATACAAATTTGATGAGAAAAAGTCGAAAAATCGCACTAGAAATCAAACAAAATTGATGAACAAAACACGCAAATCGCACAAGAAATCGAACAAAATCGCAGGAAAAAAAATTGATAAAATTGCCAAATAAAATCGAAAATTAAAAATCGGAAAATCGCATAAATCAAATCACAAAAATCGCAAAAATTAAAATCGGAAAAATCAAATTGAAAAATCACAAAATCTAGTTGAACATCATGCGTTTTTCATGAAAATTTGAACAAAATCGGAAAAAAAAAACGTACCTGATTTGAGCAATTTAGGTTGTTTATGCGAAATTTGAACAAAAATTCCTCAATTTCCAGCAATTTGTGTTTAATTTTGGGATTTGAGGAGAGAGAAAGATAAGAGGTTTGCAAGTTTGAGGAGAGAGAAAATTTTGGACGGTGGGTTATGGGTTTGAGCGAGGATATGTGTTTTAATCTCAGCCGTGAGATTTGATGGGTCATAATCTACGGTCTTGATTGTCCGTTTTCATGTTTTCAGCTATAGGCTTGTTTTCACATGATCCACGCACTATATATATATATATATATATATATATATATATATATATATATATATATATATATATATACTTCCTCCGTTCTTTTTCTATTACATCACAGGGGTTTTGGAGGCAAAATTTGGTAGTGGGAAAAAGTAAGAGAGAGAAACGTAAAAATACAAAATTGTCCATGTGATGTAAAGATAAAATAAAAAGTAAGTGTGATAAAGTAAAGGTATGTTGGGTATTTGCAGAGTGAACATAGATATTTTTTGTCCTAAAATGGAAGTGGTGCAATATTTGTGAAACTTCCCTGAAAGGCAAGTGATGCGATATTAAAAGAACGGAGGAAGTATATATATATGTAAAATTCGATTTTTTTAAAATAAAATAAATGGATAATAAATCTTATCCAAAATCCAAAAATAATAATTAAGTTTTAAAATGCTTTTGGCGTCAAAATTCAAATATTATTTTGGCTCCAAAATTCAAATAGTAAAATAAATTACTATAATACCCTTTTTAGAAAATATTAATTAATTAGAAAATACATTTCAAAAATACGGGGTATTACAGTCTACCCCCTTAAAAGAAGTTTCATCCCGAAACATAGCCAAAAGAGATACGAAATCATTTCAAATTATTTTAAGTTATTGGTTCATGCACATCCTAACCCAACTCAAGACTGCAACTAACTCAAGAACGACTCAAAAACACTCAAAAATAACTCGAAACACAAACGCTAGAAACTCTATCGCCTCTACCCCCCTTAACAGGAGTTACGCCCCCGTTACTCAACCACTAACCTTAGTCAAACAGTTCTGGGAATGTTTCTTCATATTAGCCTTAGCTTCCCATGTAGCCTCCTTAGTTTTATAGTTCGACCATAACACTTTCACAATTCTCACATCCTTGTTACTTGTGCTTCTCACTTTAGTATCTAAAATCTTCACTAGTCTTTCCTCATAGGTCAAATTCTCATCAATCTCAATTGTTTCAGGTTATAATACATGTGTCACATCAGGTACATACTTTCGAATTTGACTCATATGGAACACATTGTGAACCTTTTCCAGCTCATTGGGCAGATCCAAATTATATGCCACGCACTTTTCCCATTTTCTGAATGATCTCATATGACCCTATGTACTTTGGGCTT